GGTGTAAGATGCACTTTAAACATGATGCATTTCTAGCTCCCCTAGTGTTTGGATGATATGTAAATAAAGTAATTTTCTTTTCTTTTTGTGTCATGCACTACAAGTGCCCAGCCCAAGACACAACAAAATAAATTCACACAGGCGGACAGACATAAACCATGAACAATGTCCTCTTCCTGAGGCGCCAGGCTCACTGAAATACAAAATATTTAAATAAATTCTGGATTTTATCTTCGTCATCTAAATAAAACAAATCTGAATAAACATCAATAATTTTACTGAACAGTTCATTTCTCAAAATCATAAATAAAGGACAATAAAACTAAATGTGCATCTCATTTTCAATCTACCTAAATCACACAAAGAACATATATGGCCCTCCTCTGGGACTGAACGAAAACATCCAGTTTCCAGAGCCAGAAGCAAAGTGCCATATCTAAATTTTGCACGTTTAGATGTTCCATATTATATATGGCTCATGACCATAACTGTCCTTTATCTGAATGTAGATTTGTAATTTAGGTTTTCATAAAATTTCAACTGCCCATTTACCTTTAGAAGCTTCAAAATAAAACTGTTTAGTATGTTTAATATTACCTCTAAATTTAGTTTTATAGGTATACTGAAAATCTGCCTCTTCATTTATTTTTTAATTTGTCTGGCCCAGGTGTACCTATTTGATAAATCCCAATAAAATATCTTTAGTTAATCTATGACCTGACATATTAATAAAACTGTTGCACAATATTACCATATCTCTAATATATTTAACTTCACATGGTCCCCATCCCATATACACCTAAGAAATAACACAGGGTTCTACAATGATCTTTCTCACTGTAAGGTTGTTGACTGTAAATCCAGACTCCCACTATCTAATCTAATACTGGGCAAATACAAGATCTGTACAACTCTATACATCTTATAACCCAGGTCAGAACATTTAACTTAATTTATAACTGCACCTGATGCTCTACCGGTGGAATCYGACTGAACTTATTCCTTCTTCAAATGTCAAATATTCATCCACAATAAATTCCAAATATTAATGTTTTTTGTAATAGACAGAATAGTAGGCCCAAAATAAAATGTAAAACTTGTCAATGCATGACTCCACTTTCTGAAATTATTAACTTCCATTTTATCACTTCAAGGTGATTCTGGTCCACCATTC